ATCAGCCGTATTAACTTTGCCATAAAGAAGAATCCATGCTAGGACATTAACTTTCTTTGGACTTTTTGTTTTCCACAATGCATCAAAAAAATCCTTTGGCCATGAGGAAAATTCTTTTGCCTACATAAAAAGGCTATCGAAAAAACCCCTGAAGGTTCCAAAGACCACCACCTTCTATCAACATTATCACTGACTGAGACCGAATCCAAAGGCTGAAAACTCCTCAAATTCATCATCTTTTAGAGATCTTCTAGTCTCAATATGCCAAACGTAGGAAACAAAGTACCAAAGCTGAGAAACAGAGGCATTAGGGAGAGGAGAAAGCTTAAAGATCTTAGGAAAACAAACCTTTAAAGCTCAAATTCATCTCTTGAGGCCAAAATACGTCCCTTAGGTCTCCCGTTGATGAAACTAGAGAATTTGGTTCCTTTAACACAACCTTTAATCCATTTGTACCATTTCTTCCCAAACTGTTTCTGTACAAGAACATCTTCAAGGAAGGCCCAATCAACCTTATCAAAAGCCTTTTCAAGATCTAGCTTAAGTAACCATCCACTCTTCTTTCGGACTTTATACTCCTCCATGACTTCGTTAGCAATCAGTATTGGATCAAGAATATTTCTTCCTTCAATAAAGGCACTTTGAGTAGAGGAGATCGTACAGGGCAAAACTTTATTTAGACGCTCCACTTAAACCTTGACCAATAATTTATAGATAGAGGAACAGAGGCTTGTAGGCCTAAAATCACGAACTTTTAATGTGTTGTCTTTTTAGGGATGAGACAAATAAAATTCTCCTTTAGGCAAGCGTTGATATGACCACTGCTATAAAAGTCCTTGAAAAGACAAATGAAATCTTCCTTCAAAGGCTGCAAAAAACAAACAAAAAATTCTGTGGTAAAACCGTCGGGACCCGATGCTTTGTTTTTGCCAAGATCATTCAAAGCGGATCTTATTTCTGATTCCTCAAAACAACGTTGAAGCCACAAATGATCTGAAGAGGAGATGGGGAGCCAATTAATCCCTCTTGGAGAAAATCTAGGGCCAATATCTGCCTGATCCTTTCGAAAAAAGCAAAAATCTCTTCCTCAATATCCTTCTGGTTAACCAGCGCATAACCATTCTCATTGAACAGTTCTGAGATAACAAACTTTCTCTTTCTGGCTGCAAGATATTTATGAAAAAAGTGGAATTTTCATCCCCTACTTCAGCCACTGAATCTTGCTTTTTTGGAATAAATTTCTTTCATTCTCCACATAAAGGTTAAGCAGATTCACCTGCATAACACTTCTTTCTTTGACTTCTTCGCTTGACAGACCACATTCTTCCACTTTAGCATCCAAGGAAGAAATTTGAAGAAGAATACTTCCTTCTGCCTCTTTTTTCCTCTTCTTCGTCTGCACATGCCAAGATCGGAGAGATGATTTCAAATTTCTCAATTTGGAATTCAAGGTATATCCAACCCATCCATAAGAATGATCGTTGGGAAGCTTAGATTCAATGATACCGATGCAATCCTTATCTTGCAGCCACGAGTTGAAGAATGTAAAAGGACCAGGACCCCATTTAAAATCTCCTGCCTCCAAAATAATAGGAAAATGGTCTGAGGTGGTTCTTTCAGCACGAGAAACTTTAGAATTTGAGAAAACACTCTCCCAGTCGGATGAAACCAAGAATCTATCCAATAGAGAGTGATTGGATTCAATACCTGGTTAGGACCATGTATACTTGCCATTGGCCAACGGAATCTCCACCAAATCGAGCTCATTAATAAGGTTGTTAAACCTCTTCATGACTTTTGTTGAACAAACACAGGAGGACCGTCCAGAAGGCCACCAAAGAATATTAAAGTCGCCACCTATGCACCAACATCTTCAGAAAGTGTTGAAATATCTTGAAGTTCTTGGAAAAAGAATTTCCTCTCCTTATAATCTGGTGGATCATAAACAGTGGTAAGCCAAACATTATCAATACCAGAAAACGAGATTAGAATTGATAAGGAATACCCCCCTTTGATCACATCTTTCACACTAATCCGCCTTTCATCCCATATTAATAGAATGCCTCTCGATTTTCCAATTGCATCAATGGTCAACCAGCCTATATCTTTATAACTCTGCAAGGATTTGATCAAGGAAGGATCAAATTGCTGCATCTTTGTTTCTTGTAGGCACACTATATCTAGACATTGATTTTGGAGAAGCTTCTTGATCTTCAATCTTTTTTCATCTTTACACAGCCTTCTAACGTTCTATGAAATCACTTTCATTATCAGCCGAAGATTAATGCCTGCTTCTTTGAAAAATGGAGGGATTAAGTCGGACTTTTCAACTTCTGTTGCCTCTCGAAACAGTTTCTGCGGATCTGTCTTCACCGATTGTTCACATAACACTTTGTCTGGAGCTTCAAAAGAGTTAGCAACCAGAGAGTAATCCGACTACTAACACTGTACTCTGAATCAAAGTCTTCTCCAATAGAGATCTTAATAAGGCGAAGAGACTTGATGATCCCTAGTAGAATTGATAACACCTTGTGAAAGAGAGGGAGGCAAATGGTCAATAAGATTTGCTGGTGGAACCGATGCAATAAAGGGGTAAGTGCTTGCTCTTTCTTCATTTAATGCCGCGATTGAATTTGAATCTGACAACCATGGCTAGTTTCTCAGCCGATATAGCGTCTAGGGAAGTGTTCTCTCTTTCCTCATTGAATGCCGCCAATAAATTTAATTTCATTCCCTCAACCGCAGCAAATCCTCGGTATCTTTATTAGCCGCCATTTTCCCCCTTTTTCTTGAATAAAAAAACGGAAGAGAAGCCACACGACCGTTTGCCTTCCTTTCTTCAATAGGGAATGAGGAACACTTAATTTTCCTTGGAGTACCTGCGGGGGAATTTTCCTTGGAGTACCTGCGGGGGATCCTTTAATGCTAAAACTCCTTGAATCCCTGCCAATAAATTCCACCTCTTGCTCTTTCCTTCTTGAAATTTCATCATTAATGCTTGCCTGCCTAGAAGGGAATAATTGCTGACCATCTACTTTGGGCAAATCAACCGTTTCAAT